GATAAGAATGCAAGATATAAAAATTGGTCTAATTCTGACATTTTTAGAGTAAAGTAACCTGCACTAATCATGAAATTTATATTAAATATATTTATTAATATCAAAATTGACAGATACAATTAATTTATTCCTATTCAGAAAATATTTTATTTAGTTTCTATTGTGTTTTACATGTTATTTTTTAATTCATGTCATCTATCAATTGATATACGATTGACATAGTTATTTAGCTACAATCACGATAAGTAATTTTTATTTTTAGACATATTAGAAATCATCTGTAACCAAAGGTAACAAATCAAACTTTTATGCCATTACATATATAATACTAATAAGGATGGTTAGAAGTGTTTAAAATCCTGGTCAGGCCTAAAACAGGTTAGACCTGTTTGGGTAAAGTATACCTCAAGGATAAATTAGTCCTAAGTCTATAATCTATATTTATAAAAATTACCAATTGTGCGTATAAATAAGGTTGGTCATGACTGTTGTGTGAAAGGGACAATAATCATTAGATTTCACTCATTTATTCACTTGATATCGTCACGATTATTGACCCCCTGCCTTACCAACACTTGATAAACCTTTTTTCAGCTAAAAATTGTATTTTTTTAATTTATGAGCAAATTTTATTATTCAAACAAACGTCGTTTGTTCCAATTTGTGATCCATATAATTGGCTAAATTCCGTATGATTGCTTAATTTTTATCAAATTTATTTGATTATTACATGTATGGACTCGACTCAAAGATCTGAACCTTTCGCCGGTATAATATATAGCAGAATTATCAGCTGGGCATTCTTATAGCTCTTTAAAGTTTGTATTCTTTTATAAAAATACAAAAAAATGATTGGTTAAAATCACGATGTTTTTAAATTTCCATTCTTGTAAAAAATGAAAAAGATATGATTGGTCATATCAGCTGATAAGAAAATATAACACAGTCTGATCAAAAATTGGATTAGCTATTTTTAACTAGACAATCCAACAAGTTACAATTATTAAACTACTATTATTTGTGCGAAAGTTTTATTTTAGAAAAGAACTATTCAAAATTAAATTAATATTCAATTTAGATTAGTTCGAAAATTTTCATTCTATAATTGAAATTTGTCACAAATTCACACAATTTTTTATGTATCAATAGAATTTATCACTAATTTTGAATTTCCTCTTAAGTGGCTTCCAGTCAACAACACTAGTATAGTTATGTAAAAAAATGTATACTGATACAATTTATATTACATGTAGCATAGTATAATGTTCGATTCGAAGGAATGAATGATTTCTTAAAGCATATAAGACCAACTTTGCAGCTCAAAGAAAAAAATTTGCGATTAAGTACCGAAGTAAAAAGAATGAATCTGAATCAATTGTCATTCATACTAAACATTGGAAAAAAAGCTTGAGTATTATATGGGACCTACCCCCTGAAATCCTATGAAATTAAAATTCAATTATTTAAATTAAAACAATTGAATTTATTATGAAAACAGCTTATTTAACCATAAATAAGTTGTCAGTTTAATTTCTAAGTATCATTTGCAAATTCTCTAGCATTTGAAGGTTCTTTTCATGAAATTTCAAAGCATATATTGTGTCACCAAAAAAGCATAGGATCAAAATTGAAGGTTTCACCTATGTTTAATTGAATTTTTGAACTTAAACAATACATAATATAAAAATAAATATTATTTACCTATTAAAATGTCTTTTCGCCAATATCCGAACTGGTTTCTTAATGGCGATTTACTTAAATCTTTCGCTTTGAATATACTAAATAATTTCCAAAAAGTTGAAATTCGCAACATTAGCATAGAAACATATCCGTGTCCACTTTGCAATAATGAAATTTTTTCAACCGAACCAATTACGATTTTGGACTGTGGATATGCATTTCATCATATGTGTATCGAAACTTATTTCAACAGAATTTCGAGACTAGAATGTCCTAAGCAACCTTGCAACCATGAAGTGCACATTGATGAAATTGTAATTTCACCCAAACAAAGGAAAAAAACAAAAGAAAATAATAATATTGAAAATTTGCCGAAACTTAAAAAACTTGCTCATGAGTTATTAACCGTACCTGAACAAAGCAGTAATCAGACTCTCAACTCTGAAAGGGCAAATAGTGTCAATTTTCTTGATCTTAGTAATCATATTTCTCGTGCTGAAAATAATAAAAAATCGAATCATGAGGTTCTTAAGTGTTATTACGACCTTGGAAAGGCTTTATTAATGCAACTTAGAATTTTTAGAGAATCACATAACGAAATTGAATCCAAAAAATTAGTTAGTAGTCAATTCCATAGTGATCTAGAAATTGTAATACCATCTTATGATGCTATTATTTTAAATTTATGGATTTTTCCTGCAATACTAAATAAACTCTAACTCTTCTTCCAGTTTAAATCATTTTTTATTTAAGAAATTGTTTGAATGGAAAAATTATCAACCTACGCTACTCATTAACCACGATAAAGAATAGTATCTCCTAATGATAGATTTTTTAAAATGCGAAATCCCGGATTTTTGAAACGGAACAGATAACGGTAAATTTAAAGCCTAGATATTATTCTGTATTATAATTATGGTTTACCACGATTAAATGCAATGAATTAAATTAATTTGTTTCAACAAATTTCAAGTTTTATATAAGAATTTGATTTCAAAAATAACCAATTTTACTCGTTCCACTTTTCTATTGAAATCTTTAATATTAAATCTATATTTAGCATTTTATCTAATAATGTACATGGTCAATGATTAAGAATTATTAAACAGAAGACTTTTGATACATAAAAAAACATGCTTCATTCAGTGCACTATTTTCTTATTATTAGTGCGTCTAATATACTATAACACACTAACCCGATACACATTCTTCCGATGCTGCAATCTTTTTAAAACTATAGAAATGGTCGGAAAAGCTAGCTATGTATGGCCAATTACCGCCTCTGAGAATCAATTCTCTAATCAATTCTCTATAAGTCTTAAGAATTGATTCCCATCCTTAAACTCTGTGCCTAAAGCCATAGATTAAATCCTTAACAGTCGATAGTGATATACCAATAAGCTTTTTATATTGAATTTACTATAAAATGCATAACGTTTAATATAAGCTGCATTCTATCTTTAATAATAACAAGTGTTTAATAGCTACAAATTCAAGGCAAATTATAACACAGCCTTTTATCCTTTTCGTTTTTTTATATTTTTTTGCCAGGTTTTGACTTTTATCAGGCGTTTTCACCTTCATTTCCTATTTTAGATTTCGTCTTTCGTCGGTTTTAGAGTTGGTCTTTCGTCACCATATAAGACCTGTAACTTTGGATTTTAAAAAATGGTGCACCCCCGGAATCACGTGATCGACGTATAATGGACGTAAGTACGTACGTAAATACATACCAAATACATTACATTTTTTATTTACTATGCAATAATTACCACATTTCGAATAAATGTTATTTATTTAAGTAATACAATACTTATACAACACATTTTAAACTATTATATCATCTACGCGAAAATACACATTCTTATACGCCACTTCGTTATACTCAGTACAGCTCGTGTTGTTTCGCTTACGCTCAGCAACACAGACAGGGCTCAATTTGTTCACCCTGTAGTCACTTCGCTCCCTTTCCTAAATACTTGATACAACCACAATTATTTATTCTAATCTATTCTAACTTACCCTAATCCTAGCCAAACCTAACAAATCAACAAAGCTTCGCGTTCACACCAACGAAAACATACCAGTAACGAAGTTAAACCGGTGGTATCAGAAACTATAACGAAAACCAACTATTTAACACCAACGTAATAACGAATGCGACGAAACACAAGACACCTTCAACAATGATAACGGCGAACACCAACAACTAAGTTATTTCGCATCTCCAATAACAACGGCGATAATAACAAAATACCACGCTAACGAAGACGATAATGGAAGTAACAAATCGTGGGAAAATCGCAACACCTAAAAAAAAAGACGTTAGTTACATTCAACGACCAAAACAAAAACAAACGAATAAAATTATACTTCCCGAAGAAAGCCCAGAGAAGCCTCTCATGGTACCTTGAAGCACAATTCAGAACCGGAACAGCAAAAAAATACTTCCCGTAATATGCCCAATAATGAACGAAAGATCAACGCTTTGCTCAATACCTGGAAAAAAAAAAGAAGCGTTAGTCAAATTCAACTAAAAACAAGACAACAGAATTATACTTTCTCGGAATTTCCAAGCTTAGAGACGCCCTAGAAAACCTAGGAAAAAAAAGGTTGTAACTACCCAAACCTTAACAACCATTCCTCAACCTAATTACTATAACTACTAACCCTACCCGATATAACAAATCTTCTGAACCCAAGAATAACGACCTAACAGGACGTACACCAGCAACGAAACGGCGCACACCAAAAAAGGCGAAACGTGAACAAGACCCACCAACCGAAATCGACAACACCGAA